AGGCTAAGAGCAATAGAGGAGGACACTGATGTGTAAACTTCACCATTGTGTTGGAAAGAATTCAATTTAATTTGAAAATAGCTAATGGCTGTTTTCTGCCAGATAGAAATAGTCTTAAAAATGAACTATAGAAATAAAGAACAAACATTCAGGGAAGACGAAACAGAATTGGTAGAGTTGTGCACATTCACCTAGTGGGGCTGGAGCTGGACTCTCAAGGTGACAGCACTTGGCTGTCCCATCTCTACCCATCTCCACTAGGTCACATGCCTCAAGTTCCCAAATTCTTGTTCTTCCAAAGTCAATGAATACAAGGGGGACTAAGTACATTGCGTCGCAGGAGCAGACAGCCAATAGCGTGGGTTAGCAGAAAAATTCCTCTAAGTATGGCCTGTGGGCAACCCATAGTGACACATGTCCCAAGTGAAAATCCGTAGTCACCAGAATGCCAACCCACACAGAAGTGTCTACAAAATCTCCACCGTGAGCACGTATCTCAGGAAACTCTGATGCAACTTCAAGTCCTGACCTGGAATTAGGCAAGAAGAGGTCTCTTTCCATTTATAATACCAATCTTGATACTTTTCCATTAGAGCTCATTTAGAAGATAAACACCAGGTGACAATTAAGAACGGTCCAGCTGGGCCTCCTACTGTTCATGGATGCTCAGGGCGGTGTGACGTTTTGTAACATGCTTGCTCAGGAGCACAGCCCAGCAGCGGTAATGACTGTGATTGCACTTTACCTGCTCCAGACAGTCCCGCTGCAGATGCGAAAATCATCAGCACTTTCCTCCACATCCCCCAAACTCATTTCTTACACAGAACCATCCTTTTGCTTATAAACCAAAAGCAAGACCAGAACAAAAGCAATCACAGGATACAATAAAAATTCATGTTTTAAGTTTATAGGTAACTGCCAATAGCAACAATGACCATCTCCAGGCAATGGAATTATAAATGGCCTTTTTCTTTAAACCTCCTGTCTTTGTCACTTTCTTGTCGCTGTGATAAAACAGCCCTGACAACAGCAACTTAAGGGAGAAAGGGTTGATTTGGGCTCCTGGTTTAGAGAGACACAGTCCAGCATCGTGAGAAAGACGCAGCAGCAGGTGACAGGATCGAGAGACTGGCTGGTCACATTGCATCCACACTCAGGAAGCAGTGAGGAGAAAGTGAGGTCCAGGCTAAGAAACTTCAAGCCCCACCCCTGGGAAGTCACTTTCTCCAGCAAGCTTCCACCTTCTAAAGCTTCCTTCATCTTTCCAACAAGTGCCATTATCTGGGGACCAAGTGTTAAAGATGTAAACCTGTGGGGGGAGAAGTAATTTCAGATTCAAACCATAGCATTCAAATTTGAAGTTAAAATTTTAAAATAGGTTTTTGAGTTTAGAAATGTGTAGTTCTAAATGTTAAGAATTTTCATTTGAGACTATGAAATATCTTTTACTTTATAACTCCCATGTTTATTTTTTTAAACAATAGCTATTGGTTTTTATTTTATAAAAAATTTTCATTTACCAAGATGTTCCTTTTCCTCCCTTCCTTAGCCTTCTTTTTCTTCCTCCTCTGTATCTCCTTTGTTTTCTAGAGATGAGGCCTCATGTAGCCCAGACTGGCCTCAAACTCACTGTGACCTGTAACTTCTGATCTTCCCACCTCTTTACCTTTAAGCAGGGGAATTACATAGTCATGCCACCACCAAACCCAGCTGGATGCTCCTTAAATAAAGTGGATTTTGGAGCTTTTGGGAATGTGATCTGTGCTTTCCTCCTGATGGGAGAGGCAGAGTGGGCCCCTGCAGCTGTCTGCTAACCTGCATTAGAAGGCTGATAGCATACGCTCTTTAACAGCAAGGAGAAGGGTGAGACACAGGGACATAAAGCACAGTCAGTGAAAACCCAGAGACAGATACTGGGGTTCAAACTGAGGGTCAGAAACGAAAGCAGCAGGCCACTGGCTCTTACCTCTACCTCAGTCTGAAAATGGTGATCTTGCCTCCAGGAATCTCAGAAAGAGACTGTGTCCCCGAGCTGTCTCCTCCTCTATAATCCTTATAATCCTCTCTAGTTCTGGGATTAAGGGCGTGCACCACTATTGCCTTGTTTCCGTGGCAAGCTAGTGTGGCTCCTGGGATTAAAGGTCATTGTGTCATTGCTGCCTGGTCTGCAAGGCTGGCCAGTGCGGCTGTTTTACTTTTCTGATCCTCAGGGAAGCTTTATTTATTAAAATACAAAAGAAATGCCAGTACAGTGACAAGCTGTGTTCTAAGACTTTAGGAACATCTTAAGTCAGGCCAAATATGGAAGTCAAATATTGCCACACATAGAACGGAACCAAAATTATAGTATGGTATCTAACTGGAAGATCCCAAATTTTCACAACTCAGAATTTGAAATTTAGGATGCAATTTACAATAAAAAAATTACATTTGTTTATTCATTATCTTCCTCATTAATGGTGTGTGTATGTTGGCGTGCATGTGTGTATGAGTGTTTGTGTATTATTGTGTGTGTGCATGTTGGCGTGCACGTGTGTATGAGCGTGTGTGTGTATTGTTTTGTGTGTGTGCATGTGTAGGCATGCACATGTCACGGTGAGTGTTTGGAGGTCAGAGAACAACTTATGGAATGTCTAGTCTCTCTTCCCACTATGTGGATCCTTGGGATCAAACTCGGGTTTCCAGGCTTGGTGGCCAGTACCTTTACCTCCTGGTACTAGGGTGTATCCTTTTTAAAAATAAGTTTTGAGATAAAATTCATGTAGTTGTTTTTTCAAGTGTACAATTCAGTGTTTTTGTTTTTAGCATAGTCACAGTTGACCAACCACCGCTAAATTTAGAACATGTTCATGATACCCCCATAAACGTTATCCCTATTTATAACCATTCTTTATTTTCCCTTAATCCCCAGTGACCATTCATTTGCCTTTGTGGATTTCCGGTTCTGACGTATGTGTTGACTTTTGTGTCTGGTTTCTTACAAACGTACTATATTTCCAAGGTTAATCTGTGCTAAGTACGTACCAGAACTTCAGTTTTCAGTCCAAATTTCATCGTATGTATATACATTTTGTTTACTTCTCTCAGGTGACGGCCATCTGGGTTGCTTCCAGGCCTTTCCTATGATGGATAACGCTGTGCCATCACTGACACACCCGTGGCTCTGCACAATGGCAAGGGATCAGCCTGGATGTTCTTGAGCAGACGGACCGACACTGGAAATGTCGCACACACACACACACACACACACACACACAGCAGCAGCATTGTATCCTGTCATAAGGAAAACAGAACTGGCAGGGAGGTGGATGGACCTGCCAATCAGTAAGTGGGGTCGGCCAGGCTCAGAAGGACAAATCACACACACTCTCTTACACACAGATGTTGGCCTTTGTTAAACATGCATCTTCAGGTGGGAGAAAATAAAGGCGAAGGCCGGGAAACTAGGGGCCCGGGAGACTAAGGGTGGCTCTGAGAGGGGGAGGTGGGGTGACAATAAAGCAGAAGAGGGACTCTGAGAGGGGGCAGGGCTGGAGTGTGGATGGGCAGGGATCAAAACAAAATCGTAAGGCAGCTCCATAGGGCCACCTCTTGCTTCCTAAGCTGAAGGTTGTCAGCTTCTGTGTTTTCAGCTTTGTGCAGACACCCGGGTATAATGACTGCTCACTGGGCATCCCGGGGATCGCTCGTCCCAAAGCGGGAGCGTTATTCCCTATCACGTTCCAATCCCAAAGCGGGAGCGTTATTCCCTATCACGTTCCAATCTCTTGAACAAGTCCTGTGCTGCTCTTATTTTAGTTAGCCCAGGAGATATAAAGTAGAATTTGTGTAGTTTTAACCTGCATCTCCAATGGCTAATAGTGTTGAGCATGTTTTATACGCTTATTGGATCTTCTCTGGAAAAAAAATAAACTTTGACCTTTGTTGGTGGGTTGTGTTTTGCCAACAAGTTGAAGTTCTTACATACACTTGATTCAATGTCCTCGTGAAACCTAGGCCACCATCTCTTGTCACTCCTATTTTGTGAGTTGTCTTTCTACTTAGGACAGTTTCACTTTGTGCACCAAAGTTTTTTTACTTTTGATTTTGAGAAATCCAATTTGTTCATTATTCTTTCCTTCTGCTTTTTGTGTTGTACGGTAAGAAACCACTGACTAACTTAGTCACCAGAGCTGATGTTTTCTTCAAACTCTACAGTTCTGCTCTTTGGCCCACTGAGCTTGCATGCTTAGTTAGTTATTTTCGCATACTGTCTGAGGTAGGGGCCTTGATTTCGTTCTTCTGCATGTATGTATCCAGGGGTCCCCCACCCATTTGTTGAAAACTTTTTTTCCCACACTGAATGAATTCCAGCACACCTGCTGAGTAGGGTATACCTTACAAGTATAACTGGCTGCTTGACTGCAGAAACACATTTTACAATTCATGACATCTCAAATTTGATAAAAATAGAACATTTGCCTCCTGTATAAAAAAGGTTATATTTGCATTCTTTTTTTAATGAAAAAAATTATTTCTCTCAACAAGAGTAATAATCCTTGATATCAATGTGGATAGAAAAAAATCTCCTACAAGCACAAATATAGCCTATGGCAGACACACTAGCTTAAGACTTGAAGGCCTATACACCATCCTTTCGCTATTAAAAAGGAATTAAGGCTACCACAAAAGGAGTAACACAATTATAATGATCATGAAAAAAAATCCATTAATTCTCCATGCCAGGTTAAAGTCTCCTACAAGTTACATTTATTTGACAGTGATAAAATGTCACAAGAGATTGTAGTATGAGCACCAATGGAGTTTAATAAAAAATTGGGGAATTTTTCAGAACACAGATTTAAGTTTGCGTGTGCAGAGTATAAAACAACAGTCAACCCGTCTGCGTGGGATTTGTGTGGAAGTTAGGAAATGCACAAATCAAGTCTACATTTGTATCCAAGTCCTACTGAATGTCCCGATGAAGCCGGTGCTAACAACAGAGTCGCGGACGACTTACAAACATGGGAGATTTGTTTAATAGCTTTTGAAGACTTTTTCCCTGTAAAATGGCTTGTATTTCCACAAGTACAACAGTGAAGAAATAAAATTTTCAATTGGACATGAAATACAAAAGAACAGATTTTACAAATATAGCCATAAAATTTAACTGCTTGTAACACTATACATGGTAAATATGACCAGCCCCCTAACTTCTAGGTTATTTGATACAGAGAAGCAATCTGTGATCTCAGCTTAAAAGACAGAACATCCCTTTCAGCACACGGATTTCTTTTTAGAAAGTTAAGCTGAATTGGAAAATATATTTGTTTTTCCCTCCTGTCCACTAGGGAGTCATGGGGGCAGACACTTGTGAGGACATATTATCAAAAAGACAAGACGGAATGCTGGTTTCCCTCTTCCGCAGTGCTTAGCATCTCCTAAAACTATCCCCAAGTTATCTCCCTGGCCTTGAGTACTAACGCGATGAGCGGAGCTGCGTCCTGTGCTCAGCACCACGGCGGGAGCTCCAGACCCTTAGTCCAAAGGGCAGAACCCTGGGCAGTGAGACCGACAGCCAAGGGAACAGAAGCAGATGTGGCTGGAAATCCAGGTCCTCGGGGCTGTCTGTCTGCATGCCCACTGTGAGAGGCGAGACTGCATGCAGACAGCACCGACGGCGGCATGCTCAGCCACCTCTCGCGCACATCCAAAGACCAGAACAGCTCTGGAGGAGGAAAGAAGCTGAGTGAAACCACAGAACAACTTTAGTACACTTAAGTAGAAAACGTGTTCCCTAAACTCTTAAAAGTGTTCGAATATCAATACTGAGCTCCCAAGAACAGAGACTGGTAAGCAAGAGAGGCATCGATTATTTATGAAGAGTTCCCAACTCTCCTAATACAGTATATGTAATAACTTAAGTAATCTCCCTACTAGTACTGGGAAACAAATTCTACTCCAATCACATTTATGCCAGTCCTGGCATGCTTCTGCACTAGAGTAATTGGTCTCCTTAGTGGAGCCCATCGCTTTTTCCAATGGCTTTCTCCTTTCTCTGCACCCTAGCCCTGAAAGTCTACAACCAGTTACATCACGTGGCTTCCCTGAGGCACAAAGGTACCAAACACTATAATTAACTATTGAGGAATGATATAAATATGCTCTCTATTTATATTAAAAGATTTTACTTCTTTTGGGCCACAGAAGTGTGTGTGTGCGTGTGTGTGAGACCCAGAAAGCGTACTACTTCCTCTGCAGTGTGAACTGTAGCCCTTTCTGCAGAAAGCTGAAGGAAATCAGGGAAATGTGGAGAGCTGCAGTGTGCGTGGCCCAGCACACGGATCAATAATAACAAAACACTAGAAAAATACTCAGAGCTGTCTCCCATTCTCTCTGAATCTTTTTTTTTTTTTTTTGTAATGAAATGTCACAAAGAATGGAAAAAGCTATTATCTATGGAAGCATGTAACTGGGTCTATACTTCTGGAAACCTACTTGAAAAAGACAACTGGTCAGGCCGAGACCAGGGAGAGCGGTGGGTGATGTCCTTATGTTCACGTGGGTGGGTGGGGATTAGGATTCATCCTTTTAAATGTGATGGCGAGTCAACATGCAAACAGAAGCGACCTTGGGGAGGTTTCCTTTTCTCAACTGTATCACACTCTACATGGGTTCTTTATTCTTGAAAACCCTTCCCTCAGCAGAAAGTGAGGACTTATCACAAGTTGTCCAAGTCCGCACGGCTTCCTTTGCAGGTGACATGGCTGTGTTCCTCACCTGGCAACCCAAGGAAATGATAAAGGTGGCTACTGCCCCTGGAGAGCTAGTGGCTGAGTCTGCAGTCTTGGATTCAGAGGTCCGACTCTTCCCTTGTTTAGGCGCATGCATCATGTGCAAAACAAGCAGACGTCTTGACACAGAGGAGTCTGGTATCAGAGTGGAATGTCCTCGAGAAGTATTTTTTTTTTTTGGATGGGTGAAATTAAACTTTTCTGGGTTAAGACCCTTCACCTTAGAGGATACTACTAGGAATCAAGAACTGTCAAACTGCCCATATAAAAAGGGGAGGGAAGGAGGTACCCTTTATCCTTCTCGGAAAGCCAGTGCTTGAAGCTCTGCTGCATCAGATCTTTCTTTTTTGCCTTTCTATGTAGAACAGAGGAAACTAATAGAAAGAAGATTGTTGTTGGATTTCCACATCATAAATATAATTAAAAAAAATACCTCTTTCTACACAATGGTCTCCCTGGAAAAATAAAGCTATTTTAAAACCGACAGATAAACCCAGCATACTTGGTCCAGGGAGGCAGCAGCATTAGAGAATAATGTTCCTTTTTGTTTTTAAGAAAAGGTATTCAAATAGGTTTACTTTGCTGAAAATAGGGGAAATATCTGTAAAAAGGCAAAATATGGAAAAACCAATTCAAGTATGGACATGGTATATCAGATTAACATAAATTATACATATTTACTAACAATAAACCAAGCAGCTCAAGTCCGTTGACGGTCCATTTAAACAGATGTTAGCTTAACTGAAGACTTTCTCCCTGGGAATGGTGGAACGTAGCTAAGACCGACGGAGTATCTACACTCTGAACCACATCAATCCTGGCACCAAACCCAGAAAATGAACATTCAGGAATTATTAATCAACACAAAGTGAAACTAACAGAGGGCTAGCCCAACTCATGAAATTCTGATTTAATTATTTCTCAGTGACCACTCACTAGCTCTCTCAAAATCAGGAATTTCAAATGATCACAGACATACCCTTGGTGCCCTGTGCATCTAGTGGTCACATTTAAACTTGGTTTGATTTGCAAACATTTTCAAAACGTATGGGGCTGCTTCACCTCAAAGGGAAGGGAACCGATGGTGGAAAGGCAGTGAAAAAAGGACACTTCCACTGTCTTTTGTTGCTTTGGGGCTCACAAAATTTAGCTTTCTAAGAAAGGACAAGGAAGAGGAGGAGAGAGGAAGCCATACCATGAAGTGTCAACAAGTGGCTTTAGAAGTAAAAGCATATTTCAAATCTCTCTTGGGTCTTAAGCAATTTGGTATGCAGATGAGGCTGGTATTAGCGGACTCAGGACACGCCCACAGAGCCTCACAGATGCCACAGCCTTGCGTGGCTCCTGACTCCTGCTGCCACCCTCAGCGCGTCAATTTCGAAAAGCTGCTAGATTTTAATTAACCAATCAATCAGTTTTTGAAATGTTAAGATGAAGATGAGAGACAGCCCATATTAAGCAAAAATAAGGGGGCAGATTAAAAGCTTCCAGGAAAGGCTTTGTTTGATATGCTATGTATCTGATGAATGAATGTGTAAATAAATTCTGCTCAGGTTAAAATAAAGTTAACATACGGATATTCTCTTCTGCCCAAAGTCAGAAAATAAATGAGAAACAAAGCTGTAGGTTTGAAAACAAGTGCCTTGCCTTGCCTTGCCTATGCTTCCTGTTCCCTTGGAGCTTCTGGGAAGCCAACAGCAGGCCCTGATATTGGGTCCGATTCTGGCCACTTTCAAGTAGTCCCAGCCACTGAACATCTTGTAGGTGACACCTGTGTCTTGCAACACTGCAGGACATCTGCTGAATAAGCTTCCTCTGCACTTGTAAAAAAGGATGTAAAACCTTGTCTAAGTTTACAAAGCAAAAACCCAAAAACAACAAAAAAAACTTGGTTAAACACTCAAAGTTAAAAATAAAACCGTGGTAGTTGAAATCCAATTATTACGCAGGTATTAAGGTTTAATCAGGCAGACCTCAATGATGCTGCTGCTGTTCCAAGCATGCAAAACACAGTGCTATCTGTCAATTTCTGCCGTGTTTCATAACCAGAACCCCCCTTTTTTCCCCAACCCCGTCTGCCTTTCCCTTAACAAAGAGCATTACAAAAAGATAGAATCTAGAGTTAGTGGCAAAATCTTCACAGTAACTTGTTAATAACATGTAGTGGCTGTCCAGGGTGTCAGTCCACTGGACCCTGGAAAATCAATTTGATGCAGTTCTGTTCGCCAACCAGCTGTGTGGCACAGAACGGGCAGGCGGCATGAAATGCGTGGGTCCCATGAGGCAGCGGGATCTGAGACCAGTACTTTGCAGACTTCTCTGAACACACGTGTCCACAGGGGGTGAAGGCGTGAGTTGGGGGTCCAGCATCAACATAAAATCCTGCCTCACAGCCCAGCCAGAGGGGGACGTAGGGGCCCACAGTCCTGCACATGGGACACTCCCTCTCATTGGGCTCTCTGTCACTCCGATGGCCCCAGTTGTGGTAGCCATGCACATGGCCACAGCTCAGGTACGCCCAGGGCTGCTTCTCCTCCACCACCTCCTTCCGATTGATGCTGGGGAAGGCCAGGGTGTTGAGACCCACAGGACACTGGGGTCGGGCTGCATTGATCTCCTGCCGGAGGGCTTCAATGTGTTTCTGAGTCGGAGTGTGAAAAAGGCCATCAGCGGTTCTCCAGAGAAGTGTGGCTCCGCACAGGTCAATGAGGGAGCCGTCTTGAAGGACGTTGGTCTCACTTTCCACCTACAGCAGGTTCAACAGAGGGACCATTAAAAGCAAAATCCTGCAAACTATGCAACAAAGGCATCCTAACCTCCTTTCCTTAAGAAAACAGAATTCAAGGGGACGTAACACATCTGACTAAACAGGACTTGGGAACTGCCACCTCCCCCGCTCCTCCCACCCGCAAGCCTCAATACACACAACAGTCCAGGGTGCGGCACTCTGAGCTTTCACTTTTGATTAATGCAAAGGTTCCTCTAAGATCTCACACATACTACATTTTCACTTCCGATTTTTCTATGTTGGTTAATTCACCCATACACCTTATGGGGGATGACGGGTGTGCTGCCCAGGAAGACCCAAGCTCCTCTAGCAGAGCCGGTGCCAAGCTCCAGGCGACCTTTTCACTGCACACACCTTCTCTGTCAGAGGTGGACCTTCCCAAAAAGGCTTGCTTGCACAGGATGCCTGGGCTATGCACCAAGAACCTGCACAGGTGATTAGCAGCTGAGCAGCAGCAGGGTTGGGCCTCGTCAGCAGGACTCAGCTCACTCTGCTTGTGCCACACACACACACACACACACAAAGGTGCAACGGGAGCAAGACTAACAAAGCAAAAATGCACTATTCAGGAGTGGGAGCAGCTGTGCCTGGAGCCCAGGGAGGCCCATGAAGGAAGCACGGAGAGGCTAGCTGCTGACCCTCAGCGGCTGAGAGGGGACTAGGGCTACTGGCCTGTTACAGATGTCCCTTACAGCTGTGTGGCCTTGGGGTGGTTCCTGGAGCGTACAGTCCCATACTACCCCTTTCTTTGGAATGCAGAAAGTGGCAGTGAGGGTTAAATGAGAAAAAGGGAATTCTTGGAAGGTAGAAGGCCCAGCGTGCAGTGAACACTGTTGGTGCTGACCCTTTGATAGAAACGGGACAGGAAAGGGTTTTGAAGAACTTTTCTTGAATGGAGATTTGGAAAAGCTGTCAGGAGCCAGGAAGAGGGTGAAAAGACCAGCAGACCAGAGAGGTGTGTCACCCTACGTGTGGAGTGGACGAGAAGCTCCCAGGGCCCTAGGGAACTGAGCAGGCTGGGGAATGCTGGGTGGTGGACAACACAGCATGAGGCAGCGGGCCCAGGCTGGGCGGCTGGGCGGGAGGTCTTGGTGGCAAGGGAATCAGTGTGTCTTTCGGTACCTCCCATCTAACTCTAGAGCAGGTGGGCTGGAGGGGTGCAGGGCGGTCGGTACAGGTTCCTTCTCTACGCAGAGTGTCTGTGGCAACAACGTATGAGACCCAACAGTTCTACGATTTTGATTTAAGGAAGAAAGGTGTCCACATTACCTACAGATCTAAGACACGTTACTGATAGGCATTAATTTCAAAATGAGTCTGTCTGGGCTAGGGAGATGGTTGGTTGGGAAAGAACTTGCCCTGTAAAGAAGCCAGGTGTGGTGTTGTATCCTTGCCATCTCAGAGACAAGAAGATCCCTTGACATCACTGGCTAGCTACCTTAGCCTACTGGGCAAGGTCCTGCCTAAAACAGGTGGGCAGTGCCTGAGGAACAATCGCAGAGGTTGCCCTGTCATCTCCGTGTGCACATGTGAATACATACATATACACACATGCACGCACAACCCCCACCAATACAAGGCATTTTTGGAGTCATTTCTTTTTAGCAACTTTAGCAAAAATCTATGCACACACTGCTGCCTAAGCCATACGGCCATAATCAGAGAGGATAAGAAACCCACCTGGTGACATGCACGCTGGACAATCTTGCCATGGGTCTCAGGGTAGCTTTACTTCATTTTTTTCCTGCAGCAGACTGAGTGCAGAGCCTTGCACAGGCTAGGTAAGAGCTGTACTACTGAGCTATCTTCCTACTCCTTGGTTTTTGATACAGGGTGTCACGATATAGCCCAGCCAGACCCAGAACTCAACAATTTTCCTACCTCCACCCCAGCTACTGTGCCCAGCTCAGCGTGCGGCTTCTATTCACACTGGCAGGCAAACGCTCAGGTGTGAACCAGTTCAGGTGAGCACCAAGCACAGGCTTTTGTGATGCAGCATGGAGTGGAACTCACGCAGGAGCTAGAATCTCAGCTGTGGCCACTGTCTGGCTTAGTGACCCATCTACAGAGCTAAGGTGGGTGACTGCTTCCTTGGGGGCTATGCTGCAGGGGGAAGGAGCTGAGCCATGGGAAGAATAGCTAACGCAGTGTCTGTACCCGCTGTCGTCTCCTCTGCTGCTGTAAGGACTGGTCACAGGTCTGCCCACCCAGGCCAGCGTGTGTAAAACTACTGGGTCATCAGAAACAGTTCTGTAAAGAAACTGTTCTCAGACTCCCTTTCCTATTTTTAATTTCTCGAAAAGTATTTAAATAAAGCAGCCTCGACCTGACCTTTTCCTGTGTATTCATAAGAGACACTGCGACAAGGCAGCCTTGCTGTAAGATGGGGGTCCTCCCCTGCCCCTAGAGCGTGTGAATCAGAGATGACAGGGATTCCTTAGAAACAAATCTCAGGCAGGCGTAGGACAGCCAACCGCTCACTGGGTCCGCGTCCTCTCTCCATCCTAGGAATGTGGCTCGCTGCAGCCCACAGACACACCCTCCACTCGGTGTGCTCTTTTTCATAATCTAGAAAAAGGGCCCCGTTCCCTCCTCCTAGCTTCTGTAGCAGAGCAGGAGTAAAGGCGAGTAAGTCTTTCAAGCCTGTCCCACAGGCTACCACACAGACAGAGGCCTCAGACTGCCACTTAGGACCAAGACGGGCGCCAGAAGCACCTGTTTTAAGGCTTGCCAATGACACTTAGGAGACGCCAGCATGCCAATGTGTACAGGAGTGACTTCAAGCAAAGTATTCTATATTTACCCCTGGTAAACAATACCTAGAACCCGATTAATTTCTAACCATGAAACTAAGGGTGTGAAAATGCCAACATAAGTATTTCTTAGTTTTAGAAAATCTAGACCTTTAATATAAAAATTTCACCCACTGTCTCCCACTGCTCAGGATTCTTCTGAATTAGTAATGTAATAAAGGATCCTGTTCTTAAGACAGGATAAAAAGTAACACACTTCCACACAGGAATGGAATGGCCAGCTACAAGGACAGGACCCATTCAAGTCTAGAGTTTATGGAAATCTGTTTCTGGGTCAGAGAATGGCACACTCCACCCTGCACGAAGGTTCTGAGCTTTATCAGTGGGAAGGTGATGGCCACAGTGAAGACGGCCGCCCTGAAGATGGCTGCCCTGAAGATGGCCACCGTGAGGCATTTGCACTTTGGCGCACTTCCCAGAGCAGAGTCCACTCACCAGCTTTCCCCTCTGCTGGGCCGACCTGGTCTCTCGTAAGGTGTACACGTCTCCACAGACAGAGATCTCTCTCCAGACTCCCGGCTGGGACTCCTCTGTGAAGCCCCCCCGGGGGTGCATCACCAGAACACCGTTGGTGGTGAGCCCGTCCATGTGTCCGTCAGGGTTTTTCCATTTTGCTGCCTTTTCCTGGAAAATAAAACCAGAGACCAGAGAAAGTGAAAGTGACACTCAGAGGGGACACCAGACTCTCCTTAAAATACAGTGGAAAGTTAGGCAGCGGTGGCGCACGCCTTTAATCCCAGCACTCAGGAGGCAGAGAGGTAGGTGGATCTCTGTGAGTTCATGGCCAGCCTGGTCTCCATAGTGAGTTTCAGAACAGCTAGGACTACACAGAGAAAAGGCATTTCCTTTTCTATTTAGAGCTGTAATTGTAGGATCAGTGTGCTGCTCTGACAACAGGAGAGACGCTAAGTTGTCTGAAGTTACACACTACCTCCCCTCAGTTCCGCACTCCGAGACCGCCTACCCCTCTGTCAAGCCTGCTCCTAAAAGTGTTTCACAAGCACTCATTACCCGGACACTGAAGGAAAAACAATATTCTAAACTTTTTGTTAAAGGTACAAACTTAAAAAGATTAAGCCAATAACTTGGGGGCCAGTGTGTTTCCACGCAAACAGATGTCTATTCCCCAGGAGATGGTCGCAGTGATGGGACAGACATTCTTGCTTGCCACCCCGCTGATGCCCCTCTCCTTCCCTGGCAGAACTCATGTTCTGTCTACGTGCCAGGGCAGGAAGGATGGGGTCCTGCTCAGTGTAAACCCACAGGGACAGTGCCTGGTGAAGGAGACCGAATGTGCCTGCGGGGAGGCGGCTTTGCCCCGGGAAGAAACAGAAGCACAGAGCCTCACGGCCTCCCTCCTCTTTCTCCGGGAGCTGCCCCATGAAGCAGATGTTGGGAAGCTCAGGAGCAGGTGCACACTCAGGAGCAGTTCTCCCCTCGCCACCCCCCCCCCCAGGTGGCTGGTGTACCAGGAGAGGCAATGGGCAAGACAGAGAGAACTGGTCCCAGATGTCTCAGGGCCACTGCAACAACCAGTGCTTGACTGGCCTCCCTCGGTACTTCCTGCCATGTGGGATGATGTATTTTTAATTACTCTTTAGGTCACAATGGACAATTTTCTCTCTGCAGCCAATATTCTGAAGCAAAAGGTAATTTTATTAAGAAAGAACAGTCACTAACACTTTTGGGGTTTGTTTATGAGGCAGGGCTTTTTGTTTTGTTACCACATACCATGTCCAGTATGGAACAGAGCAAACACTCCCCCCTTCAACCAACAGTTAAGTCTCCTCTGAGCTCTAAATGTCTACATTTGGCCACTTACTTTTCCCCTTGACATTTCTTCTCAAATTCACCATAAATGTATTATAATGTTAACAAGTACTTCTTTAAAAATCAGTACAGCATACATTATAATTGATACACCAGAAACAAGGGCAACAGTAATCGAGTGGTCTGCAGAGTCTTTCTTTTGTTTGAGACATGGTCTCTCTAGGTAGTACAGGCACAGGCTGGCCCTGAATCTATAACCCTCATGTTCTCCCTCCTGAGTGCTGGGTACATATGACCAAGCTTCAAATTACCCTCAAGCTTTTACCACCATCTTTTCAGGCTGGCTTCTGAAAACGAAAACTTCAAAAATCTCACTCAGCGGCTGCACAAAGCAGTTCCCTCCCAGATGAAGCTACTGTCACGGTAGCGGGTGGGTTTTGAGGCCAGAATGGATCTGCAGTACTTACTCCAAGAAAGATGTTTTTGGAGGAGTCGAATCCAGCTGCGAATATGCGTGCCGTGTACGGCTCATTCCTGTCACACACGATCCTGCAGGCAAACCTGGAGATGGTGCTCTGTGTGATCTGGGCATCATCGTTCTGGCCACCGGAAACGGTGTCGGTAACCACAAAGTCGATAGGGCTTTCTGTTGATCTGCCCACCTGAATAAACCAACATTCTCATGACTCATGAAAAACACCAGGCTCTGCGATGTATTCACAGGACTGGGAGTCTAGAAACCTGTCAATTGTGTGCCCTTCCTTCCTACCCAAGAGAGAAAGTACGTACACACAACCATCAGGTCTTTTAAAAAACCTACTTCATTTTATCATGGTATCAACACTTAATGAGATCACACCCCTCCCCCACAGATGTGTGTGTGTGTGTGTGTGTGTGTATCCACGTGCATATACAACCTTAGATGTCATCTTTAAAGATGCTGTGACTTCCTTTGAGACAGTCTTTCATTGGCCTGTAGTTCAGCAGGCTGCAGTGAGCCTATTTCCACCTCCCCCATCCCCCAGCACTAAGACTACTAGAGGAGGTTCTGGGACTTGAATTTAGGTCTTCAAGCTTGAGAGCCAAGAAGTTTGCCAATTTGAGCTAACTCCACAGCCTGAGATGGGCACATAAAAATGCTCAACACTACAGGTATAATGCTAGTGTGTGTGTGTATTATACCTGTGTGTGTGATATACATAGGTATAGGTATATAAAATGCTATACAGCATATGCCTAGATCTTATTCATTTTAACTGAAACTTTATGACTGTTAATCCACCAATTTTAAGGATTACGAGAAAGCTCCTATTTCCTATTCTGGGAAAATGACGTTAGATTTTTCTCTCTTGGTTCCAGTTGGAGATACTACTTTTACAGCAGATCATTCTTTGTTTTCTATTTCCGGAGGAAGCAAACTTTTAAAGAAACAAAGGAACTCTTTACTCGCTGAACTCCCTAAATCAGTCAGTCCATGACTCACAGCACTGAGCAAACAAAGCCCTTGCGTGGGATGGTGGGAAAACAGCAGCTGCCGCTGTTCAGGGAAACTGAGGAGAACATGGGGGCTTCTCTGAGTCAGTCCAGCGTTTGAAATGTGAGTGAAGGAAATACTTAAAAGCTAGACTTAGCATCCCATGTCGGGATCATAAAGGAAACCTCTCTATGGAAGTCTGAAAGTTGCTACCAATATTATAGTGGCTTCCTTTCCTTGGTGAGATTTCAAAGCTCCCAGGAGATTGTAGTTCACTACGACCTTAGAGTTTTAACAGCCTTTCCTGTTTAGGAGATTCCGCTAAAACAGGCCCTACTTCCTCCAGCGAACCAGAAGACACATTTGCTTATGAATAAGAAAATCCTCAGGATGGGATATTAAACACTTATATACTGGTGCTCCTCATGGTCTACCCAGAAGGCAGAGACAAACATGGCCTTCAATCAAAACCATTTACATGAAGATGAAGAATTCCTCACTAAATATGCCACTAATGCCCTTGCCTGGAAACAGAGACTGATTCCTGCCAGTGGGAGGAACACATGGGCCTTGACATGTATGCACATAAGGCTATGAAAATCAATTTCCAAGGTGTTTTTATTCTGATCCTGAATTCTGTCTGAAAAGATAAGCAATGTAAAAAACATGACTTTTTAAAAAAATTCAAATGAGTAGAGAGATCTTACATCATCTAGCTCTGCATGCTTCCCAGAAGTGCCATTAATTTCCTTTGCAAATTTCTCCTGTATGTTCCCACACACAGACTACCCCCATAAAGCCAACAGCCAAGAGACGCCTATTTCCTCTTGTTTTTCAATGGCCCTTAATTCCTTGTTCTGATGAAATGTGCCTGGAATGAACGAAGTGACTGGCTACACTGAAGCTCACCAACTTAAGCAGATGAATGCTGCTTAGCCGTATGCATATCAGGCTTAGGAAACCATAACTTGCTTAAAAATGCAACATAAAAAATCTAAATTAGAGATCCCATAAAACCATACCATATCCTTCATCTTTATAAAGTTGTACAACCTTCCCTCTGCTGGATCCCTTTTCAAGATGGATGTGTAACTCAGCTCTACTGAGAAAGCCGTGAGTCTTTTTTTAAACTTGAAATTACTTATTAATAAATTTAAAAGTAAGGTTTACATATACATAGCTCAAAATAAAAATGTACAAAAGCATAGAATGAAAGTACATCTCCCTTCCTTTTAGAAACATATATTCTACCTGTTGAGGGTTTTTTTTTTATATTGTATACAATGTGTTTTGGTCACACCTAGCCTCTATTTCTCTCCAGAATGCCTCTCCAAATCCTACTCCCAGCTTCTTATTGCCCACCAGTGCACTGGTGTCGGGCACAGTCCACCCACCCGCCAGCATCCACAACCTCAAAGAGCTGTCAAGTGCTCCTCGGTGAGGGTGGGGCCTTGTCAGCCTCCCCCCACCCCTGCTGGACCAACTATCTTCATCTTGGGTGGATCCTGGGAGGCAAGCTCTACTTTTTTCTTTTCTGACGCTTTCACCTTTTTAAGGCAATGGTCACAAATGCTGCAAATATTTAATAACTATAGAAGCATAAAAAGAAGAAAAGGAGACTTATTCAGACTCAGCAGCATGCTTCCCCCTGAACTTTATTCCAGAAGATGTTTAGGAGTGGAGTAAATGTGAGAAGCTCGTATCTCCCTGCTCACAAAACCCAAATAAAGCCTGTGTCCCACATTCGTGCATCTCGCTAAAAGCGAGCCCTCTTCTAAGACGCCACACAGGCCCACATCCCGGCCCCCCACCTCACGCCCACAGCAATTCCTTCCCTCTAGGAGTGCCACACTGTGACTTTACCTAAGTTACTAAATTCATTTAGGATCAATTCTTTTAAGTCACGCTCTTATGTGGCTGGTCATATAGTGACTTACCACGTCACCTCCATTTGCCTCTAACCTCCGAAGTGTTCGACTTTCTCCTTTAAGACACAAGCTTCAGATTGCTTTTGCCAGCAAAGAAATTTTGGCCACTTTCTTATTGGAAACCCAGCTGGTGTGGGAAACCTGCAGCCCGTCCTTTTTTCTGCGGCCAGCTCCACTTTTCCTAACAGGCAGTCGTGTAGACAAGCGGAGATGCCTCTAAATCTCATTTGACAGTTAAGTGGTACACAAGCCAAGATGCTTCTAAATTCATCTGCTATTCATAGAATGCTGGCTTTCAGAGAGTAACTGCAGTGAGAACTTCACTCACCGGACTCGAAATTTTATATAGAATCCAAGTTCATTTGTTGAATGCCAGTGGAGCCCAGGAAGACGGTGCTGAAGCGGCACAAAGGACTCTCCCGTCTTCCTTTCCCTCCCTCTCCACACTTATTTTCTGACTTTCATTTGGGACCATGCACTTTCTGGGGCACCTGTCGTCCTGCTCTGCACAGCAATGGCTGTCCTCCACGGCCACATGGTCACTCTGTGTAATCTTGTCAATGGAGCTTGCAAGCACACTGCAAATCCTTCCACTTTCCCTGTGTGGCTCCAGCTATCATTACCGCATACAGGATTCTAGTTTATTTACCTGCTCCTCCTTCTCACTCTATCCATCTGCTTAGTCTATCTCCCCTCACTTCCTTCCTGCTTGCCCGTTCCAGTCTGGGGCTCTGGTAACTCGCTGTCGACCTGGAATGCCTGCTGATGGGTAGTCTACCTGCCTGGTCTCATAGATAATGTACGGTGTTAGCAGTAAAAGGGGACTGCGTATGCCAGGCAGGCTGAGCTACAGTCCTAGCGCTCTACCCTGTGACCAGGTGAGTATCTGGCATAGTAGATGCACTGTGTGTGTGTGTGAGTGTGTGCATGCGTGCACGCGTGAGTGTCTGCATATGATACTGAGGAAGAGACCTGGTCAGTTGTCCTCATCAACTTAGACCATGAAACCCAATATGGAAAGTTCAACAGAACCGCCATATAGGGGCTGCCCATGCATGCTTCAGCATTGCAGGGCTTAAATTTCACTCAACTTCATATATTTGATGTATACACAAAGATGATAAAGGACTCTAATGGTGACCAACTCTGCGCGCGTGCGCGCGCGCACACACACACACACACACAAGTACAAGACATTTCCAAGAACAATAATTTAACATGGAGCTATTATTAATGTTTTTTAAACTAAACTGAAGCTAATGAAGTGCTATGTCTGAACTATAGTCACGTCATGGTCAGAGTGCACGTGGGACTTTGTCCCATCTGAGGGACATTGCATGGCATCTGCCTCTTCCTTTCATTCTCTCACATTCTATGTTTTACTCTCTTGCTGAGCGTTTCCTTCTTTATTTCCTTCTTCATTTATTCCAGATCTAGAAAGCAATTACCAACATCTTGCTTGTGTATGTGAATTCAGACTCTGCCATCCTTAAATCTAGCCCTGACGGCTCGCCCTGATACTCTACTACTGCACCTGAAACGCTGATGTCAAGCTAACGGGGATGCTGCAGGGCACAGCCTTCAAGGCTGAGGCTCATCCTTCGGACAGCAAATGTTTGCCAGTGGGATCTGAACATACAAGCTTGTTAAAAGGAGAAAAAGTTGGGCATGGTGGTACATGCCTTTAATTCCAGCACCCGGAAGGCAGATGCAGGTGGATCTCTGTGAGCTCACGTCCTGCCTAGTCTACAAAGTGAGACCCTGTTCCAAAAACAAAATAAAACAAAACAAAACAGAGCCGAGCCAGTCTTTAACACAATGCTTTGTTTACTACTGTAGACAGTGAGAGAAGCTATTTCAGGGCTGGAGGAATGGCTCAGCATTGAGAGCACTTGCTCTTCCCCAGAAGATTTAAATTTGATTCCCAGCATCCACACAAGGCAGCTTACAGCCTTCTGAAGCACAGAAGATACAGCCTTCTGGGAGATAAGCACCTCTCCTGGCCTCTGGGACCACCTCTCCACACACAGAGACACATTTAAAACGTAAGATTACTTCAGGAGAAACCACCAGCGTCATGTTTTCTTAAGAAACTTAGAAAATCTTTTTGTCTTGTTAAAACAAAGACCTTAATCTATTTCTGTCACTATCATTTCTGGCCTTAGTTTAAGTAGCGTTATCCTTTAAAAACTTGAATTTTCAGGCCCACAACTAAGAGGCTGGCAAAGAAACAACTAAAAAAAATCAGTATTTTTCCCTTTTTCTGTATATGTATATAAAGGGTATGTATGTGTGCACATGCAGGTGTGTGTGCACACAACACACTCACTCAAGAAGCCAGAAGTCAATGTCTTTTTCAGTCACTTTCACCATTATTTATCTTTAGTTTGTTCCGTTTGTTTCTTTTGCATGTGTATGTATACGTGGCATAGAGGTCAGGGGGGGCATGTGAGGCGCTGTGTGGAGGTCAGAGGGCATCTTGACTGAGCTGTCCTCTCCAACCTTGTGGGTTGTGGGAATTACACTTGGGTCATTAGGCCAGGTGGCACATGCTTTTACCAACTGGGTCCCTTTGCCAATTCTCTTTACTTTATTTTGGAGATCTCTTGCTGATCCTGGAGCCCCACCAACTGACTAGACTAGTTAGCCAGCGAGCTCTTGGATCTGCCCATCCTAGGAGTCTAGATCTCTCCACCTTGGCTTTTATGTCGATGCTGGGGATCAAACAGGTCCATGTTTGTGCACTGCCCGAGCTATCTCTGCAACCCACAAATCAGTAATTTGTAAGAACATGGTCCACTCTCCCCAGAGAGCCCTTGAGGCTCTGCCCCATCAAGAGGTGTAAGTCCATAAACCCGAATTTCTTCCAAAATAAAATAAAGATGGCACTTCAATCCCCCTGTGATGCCCTCTGTGAAGATGGGGTCTGGCGCTAGTGACAGGCACTGTGGTGCTTCAGTGGGCGTTCTAGCTGCACCCTCTGCATTGCCACATACTTGCTGGTAAAAAAAAAGTCTTGATTTTATTAAATCTTGACTCTTTATAGTACCGTGACAAAATGGGGCACTCAGAAGTTAGTGGAACAAAATTCAGCTACAGCTTTATTCCTTCTGAGAAGGGAAGGGCACAAAGAAGACCGCACTCATCCAGAGGACGTTGCCCGGCAATGGGAAAGGACCACGATTCTCCTTAAAAAAGTACACCCTCTCTCATCAGCAGCACCTGCCTTCCCACCTCACGGGAAAGAGCAGCTGCTGACTGCAGGGTGGAAAAGTCAGTGATCTCGCTTGCAGTAAAAAGGTTGGGCAGTGAAACACACGCACACACACACACACACACACACACACACACACACACACACGCGTGCGCGCGCGCGCCATTTTAAGTTCTACAACAACACTGATAGGAAGCGTGTGCCCACCTTGGCGCAATGCAGAAGCGAGCACTCAGGAGGCTTGTGGGCTGGCCTGGAGAGTGGCGCTGCTGCTAACACTGTGTGTAAATAACATCCTTGCCTCCCAACTGTTCTGTAGGCAGGTCATCTACAGTGCCTGGCCGTCTAGAACTCATGGTCCCCAGATCTGCACACCAACTGGCTAGTTCTTCCCTAACAAAGCTAGCTGCCTAGTCAATGTTTCAATTACCATTTTAGAGACTATTTATAGAGTTTCTATGAACTGTTTAAGTCATTCACAGTGATACTAATTTAATAATTAATATAATATTTAGTATTAGTATTTGTCATTACTGCCTTATTTAATAGCATGATTTAATGATTTTGCATTTCACAGTAAGCAACTGTAACTGGCTCCAATGCTAACTATAGGACTCACTGTCTAGTATCACTGTTTGTGATACGAATCTGTACATATTTCTCCCAATGTCACTTCCCTTTTGTTTTTATTTTATTTTGGATATAAAAAATTTAACTAAAATACAAATTTTGTTTTATGTTTTGTGGGGATGTTAGGATTAGGACATTTTAGAGATTTTTTTTTATTTATTTATTGTATATGAGTGCTCTATCTGCATGTATGCCTGCATGCCAGAAGAGGGCACCAGATCCTATTATGGATGGTTGTGTGCACAATGTGGTTGCTGGGGATTGAATTTAGGACTTCTGGAAGAGCAGTCAGTGGTCTTAACTGCTGAGCCACCTCTCCAGCACCCAAGGATTAGAATACTTTAACTTGAGCTATTTATATAATGATTACTTAATTTAAAAAATCCTTGAAAATTTAATCATTTAGAATTTTATAGTGTTAGTTCTGAGACAGTTTTCTTCCTCAGAATGCTACTTATAACAATTTTGATCTTAATTTTAATATGATAGCTATAAAGATAATTAAATATTTCTTCAAAATGTTGAGGACAGCTCTGATGAAGGATGGCTCTTCTGCTAGTCAGAGCTGTTGAAGCTCATGGGAGCCCTGGGTCTTTCTGGTCTACCCACTCAATCCATGCTGAAGTGTGCACTCACCTATGTTTTTCTTGTTAGGAAATGTAATTCTTTACCACATCTGTGGTAAAGTCACGCTTCATATTCCTTAACTATTTATGTATAAACTAGTAGCTATATGGTTTATGCATAAATAAATGGTTTACGTCACTGGTGCTGCAGCAACTCTGCCTGTGAAGGTCACTCACGGTGCTGTTCAGAAGCCACTTCCACACACGGCGCTCTGTGCTGTTTTCAATTAGCAACAGGAATGAGTGCTCTGCCATGAGCTAGTCCATGTTGAATAATCTTAAAATAGAGTTGTTGGCTATCTGAGGTTCTCATTTGGACAGCTGTCCCTGTTTTGCTCTTGCTCCTTTCGTAGAGTCTGGGGAAATGGTTAATGCAGGAAGGGGATCAACCTGTGGCACCTGGATTTGCTGTCTCAAGTCCCCACTTCACCTTCCAGATTTCTGACATTCATAAAGAAGCTACACTGAAACACAAATCCTGCTGCCTCGTTTGCTAACCAATCCTTCCCACTCTAAGACATAATACCATCTTAGCTTTGCTGCAGGGCCTCTGTTTCTTCATTCTGCCCTCACTCTGTCCATGGATGTGCTCCCCATACTTAAGTGCAGGGCTCACCTCCTGGGCTCAGGTCTGCCTTCTGTCTTCACAAGTCCACATTACAACTTTCCATTGTTATCCAGGAGGTGGTGGCGCACGCCTTTAATCCCAGCCCTCAGGAGGCAGAGGCAGGTGAATCTCTGTGAGTTTGAGGCCAGCTCTGGTCTACAAGAGCTAGTTCCAGGACAGATAAGACTGTTACACAGAGAAACTCTGTCTTGAAAAACAAAAACCAAAAGAACAACTTCCTGTTGTTTCTCAAGTATTGAATCCTTGGGTGCATTTTCTAAGTCTTTTCTTTTCAGATGATGCTTTCTTCTCTCTACTGCTTTTGTTTGGTTCATCCCTAGACTCTGTAATATGCTTCTGATTCTTCCTACACTCATTCTATACTTTTTTAAAAGTCAAAAACACTTTTTAGAGATAAGCACTTAATTTATTGTCTTAAACTTGATTAAGAAAGTACTTAGGCTTTACATTTTCTAGAAGGTGTTGGTCACATGGCTTATGTTTTTTCATACCCTGTTCTAATTATTTCTGGAAGCCTCTAATATTTTTATGTCTTCTTTGGCTCGTGCTATTTGAAAAATTCTTCTTTTATTTTTATTTTAAAAGAGGCTGCTTTACTTTTTTGTCTATTGTTATCATAATCTTTTATTGCATTAAGATTGATGAATAACAATAAACTTGAGGGAGAGTCGGGATGAGTATGCGGGAGGGCTGAAGAAATGGGAGGGAGAAATGCGGGAATTAATACAATCTCAAAAGCAAACGAGAAACAACCAAAGTTATCTGAGGGCACAGAGTACAATTCCTCTTACCCTTTAGAATGGGAGGGATTTTTTTCTATTATTCTCACCTCTTTCCCCTGGGCGTGACTGAATGGCATTGGGACACATGTTCTGGCTGCATGGCAAAATACACAAGCAAAGGCAAAGGCAAGAGTTCTCATTACAGATGACGCATTACCTGGAACATGTCCGTGTCTTTATCGTGTGTGTACTCCACCACCACGGTCTGGTTCCTCGACAGAGTGTAGGATATGCTGTGCTGGCCTTTGCAGCTGATAGCCTAATTGTGAGAGGAGAAAAAAAAATTCATTTAAATCTCATCCTAGCAACTGGTCAGTGTTCTGTTCCAGCTCACGGCCACCTTTCTACCAGGAAAACCCAGCATTGGCCAGCATTGGTCAGAGCTCTCCCCACGCTCGGTCCTAAAATCCAGAGGAGTGAAAATGTAAAATTTGGGAAGCTTTATCATATACTCTATACATGTCTAAGAAAAATAAGTTTATTTGCAACACTTGATTTACTTATACTGTCAGAAAATATATACATTCTCTTTATCACCAAACTTAAGCGACTGAACTTTTAGACTAACTATAGTGATTTCTTTAAAAATTTTAAATTTCCTTCACACAGTGGGTAAATTAATAGTGTTTTGTCTCACTGCTTCCTCTCTTACAGGGATTATAAACACACTAAAAAAGTCATTGAAAAGACTATTCATATCTTGCAACGATGTCTACGTGACAATATAATGTTCTAACCCATGCCAGCTATATCTACACAGTTATATCTTGCTTAAGCAATTGCTGGGCTCTACATTTTATATCTTTAAAAGCAGGACAGTGGGATTAGGCTCCACACTACTGAGACTCTGTTGAGAGATGGAGGTAAGACCGTGAGCCTGAGGTCAGTCTGGGCAAGAGAGAGCGTCCACCTCGACAGTAAGGCCAACCCACTTGTAATTTTCTGTTTCTTTTCTTTTTTACAATTAATAAAGCCAATGCTCTTTTTCAAATAACCTAGGAGTAAGACACGATACTGCTAATATCGTCTCCATCACGGTATGTTTGGACACATTTTAAATTGTAATTAAATGCTCTTAATGCTTCTAAATTAATGCAGAAATCAATTTAAATTATACTCCAAATTATTTCAGTTACATGTTCTATAGTACTTTTATTTATCGTACTCTACTTTTATATTAAGTGTAATAAATAGAACTTTAATAAGCCTCTCTAGTAAACACTCCTTGAAGGAAGGCACTGTCTGAGAGCAGGAAAATTTTCCTCAGTGCTGGACATACACAGCATGTTAACTCAGAAGGCTCAGAGCATCTCTGTTTGACTACAACTGCTCAGAGCAATGAGCAGCAGAGAACACAGTGGCCATAAGCCTGGTGAACCTCGCAGATCTTGAATAACTTCCGCTGAGGAGCTCCACGGTTGATCCTTTATAACTCTTTATTAAGTTAACACAGTTATTAAAGGCAGCAGAGCTCTTTAATATAGCCAGAAATCTCAAAAACACTTCTCACTTAATGCCACCAAGTACGTCTTCTAAATCTTCACTGGTCTATTTAAGTTCAATTAAAGTTTCCTTATTAGTTTGGGAGACTTGTTTAACCATATTGCTAGAGAAACAGCCCTCCCCATGATGGACACATACAGATGTGTTCGTATATTTGCACAAGGGCAGAGAGGTCAGTATCTGAGGTGTCTTTCTCTCTTAAATTCCATCTTACTTTTGAAAAAGGGTCTCGGACTGAACCTAGAGCTTGCTACTCAGTTAGCCCTAAGGATTCAGCTGTTCCTGCTCCCCATAGCTGGGTTAGCCATGGGGATCCAGCAGTTCCTGCTCCCCACAGCTGGGTTAGCCATGGGGATCCAGCTGCCCCTGCTCCCCACAACTGAGGTTATAGATACCGATCTCTGTTCTTTTATATGGGGCTAGTGACTCAAACTTGGGTCCTTATGGTCATGTGAGTAACATTTTACAAATATTGAGCCATCCTCAACACCCCAAACATACAGTTTCTCCAGATTTCCTAAAGTCAGTAATAGAATTTTTAGACTAATAAATTAAAAATTTAAATTTTATTTCACATGCCAGGTAAAAAATATGTTGTTGAATTATTTTTTTCCTAGGCTACAAAGATTATACGCACAGAAAATATGTTGGAAAAAACTGCGAATGTCCTATATGGATTCATACATAATAATAGAATGGTTTTGTTTGTTTGTTTTGTTTTTTCAAGGCAGGGTTTCTCTGTAGCTTTGGAGTCTGTCCTGGAACTAGCTCTTGTAGGCCAGCCATGTACCACCACTGCCCTGCTAAAAATAGAATGTTTTAACCAATGATAGTCATGCCATTGCTAATGTGACATTATTAAAAGTCAAATTTTTAAAGAACTGCTCACTTTAAGACAGGCAGACACAAGGGCCACACTAAACTTACGGTAGTGTACACTCAAAGAGTTTATATTAGTTTTGTTTTAGTAAATCTGGGCAAAATCAATTTATAAACAAAGTCAGTGGTCCTCATCCTGTGGGTCACAACCCCTTTGGGGGCTCATATATCAGATATCCTGTGTATCAGCTATTTGCATCATGATTCACAGCACAGCAAAATTACAGTTATGGAGTAGCAATGCAAATGCTCTTACAGTTGGGGTCACCACAGCATGAAGGACTGTACTAAAGGGTTGCAGCATTAGGAAGACTGAGAACCACTGCACTAAGTGGGTATATTTATCTTTATAGTTAGTGAAAAAAAAGCCTCCAAACTCATAAAACTACTAATTGTGGAGGTGTTACTTCAAAATAATTTGAAGGTTCCTTAAAATATATTTTGTTCAAAATTAATTAAACGTGCAACCATTTCAATTCTAACACAACCTTCCTGGCTACACGTTATACACAACAGCAACACCTATGGTTTACTTGTGTGAGGAGGTAACAAGTGCCACACAGAAAACCTCTGGAAAAGGAATGTATTTCTGTATGATGGTTCCTTCATAAGCAGTTTCTTACATTCCCACTATAAACCCTGCACATGTCTGGGACAAGAACTTGTGAGGCAGATTCCTCACTCTCGAAACCTGTCCCTTCAAATCATTATGAACATTTTAACATTCCCCCAGTATGCTGGGGACCACCCCTTGGGAGCCTACTGATGCTGATGCTAGCCCTGGGGACGCCTCCAAATCACCTAGGGACATGCCACGTTGAATCCAATTGTTCTAAGTTTAGTTGGAAATTATTCTTGTGCACTACAGACAAGCCATGTAAGAAACGCAAACCACTAGCATTAGCTATTATCGTCCTAGGTGCTGCTCTGTTGCTGCAAATGCCTTGACCAGAAAACAACTGGGGAGAAAACTGTTTATCGCAGCTCACACTTCCAAGTCACGGCTCATCATGAGGGAAGTGAGGCAGGAACTCAAGGTAGTAGGCTGGAGGCAGGAACCATGTGGGAAGGATGCTTTTCTGGCTGATGGGGAGCTAGCCTTCATACATATGCAGAGGAAGGGTGCCCCGCACAGTGGGCGTGAGAGCCAATCAACAGTCAAAACTTCTAACAGACATAGTCACAAGCCAATTGGAGAGGCAATTCTTCAATCAAGAGTCTCTCTCTCTTGTCTTTAGTTGACAACAGAAACTGGCCAGCACAGGTGCTCATGGGGACGGACCACCCAACACAGGTGCTCATGGGAACGGACCACCCAGCACAGGTGCTCATGGGAACGGACCACCCAGCACAGGTGCTCATGGGAACGGACCACCTAGCACAGGTGCTCATGGGGGCGGACCATCCAGCACAGGTGCTCATGGGGACGGACCATCCAGCACAGGTGCTCATGGGGGCGGACCATCCAGCACAGGTGCTCATGGAGACGGACCACCCAGCACAGGTGCTCATGGGGACGGATCACCTAGCACAGGTGTTCATGGGTACGGACCACCTAGCACAGGTGTTCATGGGGACGGATCACCTAGCACAGGTGCTCATGGGAATGGACCACTCAGCTCAGGTAATCATGGGGACGGACCACTTAGCTCAGGTAATCATGGGGACGGACCACCCAACACAGGTGCTCATGGGGGCAGACCATCCAGCACAGGTGCCCATGGGGGCAGACCATCCAGCACAGGTGCCCATGGGGACGGACCACCCGGCACAGGTGCCCATGGGGGCGGACCACCCGGCACAGGTGCCCATGGGGACGGACCACCCGGCACAGGTGCCCATGGGGGCGGACCACCCGGCACAGGTGCCCATGGGGATGGACCACCCGGCACAGGTGTTCATGGGGACGGACCACCCAGCACAGGTGCTCATGGGGACGGACCACCCAGCACAGGTGCTCATGGGGACGGACCACCCAGCACAGGTGCTCATGGGGGCGGACTACCTAGCACAGGTATTCATGGGGACAGACTACCTTCCGCAGAAACTGCCACCACAGAAAAGTCATGCCCAAGTGCAAGAGGCAAGGGGCGGGGCCGGAACTCGAAGGCTTTCAGTGCCCATCCAGGACACCGAACACTGCCCCACTGTCATAAAATTATTATTTTAAACCATTGTGGGTTCTTTATGTTGCCACACAGTGATGGACAGGCTTAGAAAGGGAAAATGATACTATATTGAGAAAACTTGTTCTCTGCATGTTTTTGATTTAGAAATTTATAGCTGAGGCCTATGACAGGAGGTTCTAGGTTTGGAGAAGATGAGAGATTCTGTGCAAGTTCCAAGAAGCAGCCAGTGTGGAGTGGGTCTCAGAACACCGCCAGCACCTCAAAGCAGGACTGACCTCATTCAGTCCTGATCTGTGAAGATCCAAGGGCACCGCAGCATTCAGTGACGAGGAAATGAACAACAAAACACAGACACAGACACAGATGACACTCAGACTTTCCTTCCTCTAGCTGTCCTTGCTCTCTGCTAATGGAAGCACTGACAGTGACCAACAGGTTAACTCTCACCCCAACTGTTTCGGCCCACAAAGGCTACTTTACTGTATGTGTGAAGTGGACTGAATCACACAACTGGGCACTGTGTCCACCTGAGAAAGTGAGGTCCACTCTGAGCCAGGCACTGCTTTCTCTCTTGTGCTGTACTGCCTGTGACAGGCTCGGCTTGGCCAGCCTTTGCCGTTAAGAGTGAGGACAGTTAGGGTATGTCCTGGTTCAACTTTCAACTAAGAGCCTGAAGTCAGGGAGTTCCTCAGGCCTCTAGACTCAAAACCAAACGGTTCCAACTCCTCCTCTCTCATAAAGTTAAGCA